AAATATTTTTAAGCCTACAGGCAATGTCAGTAACTAAAGACAAAAATAAACACTTCAGAGTTTGTTACCTATACAGTAAGTTACTTTAAAAAGTAAAAAAGGCAGAAAATCAAAGCTCAAGCATTTTCCTCCCTTAGTTTCTGGTAGAAGCCTCTACAGGATGGGTAGCAGGGCAAATCAGAGTTCTAGAACAGACCTGTCAGCCACACTGAGGTGAGGGAAATTCTGCAGGAGAGACTTTACAGGTCCTGCACCCTTTCTTCAGGTTTATAGATGGCTTTTTTAAAAAAGTGTTCCTTAGAAGCTACTGAATCCAGCAACAATAATACCAAAAGGGCAAAAGCATAAATGGTGAGAGTTATTAGGAAGACAGAAGGACAAAGAGAACCAAAGCACAGGGAACAAGGGAGGGAAATCAAAAAATGAAAGCTGACAGTCTAATATAGCCCATAAAGATCTGGAAAGTAATTATGCTTCTGAGTCAGAATCAATAAGGTTAATAAAATTCCCTCCCCCATCCTCACTGGAGTAGGTGAAGAGGTGGAAAAAAAACAGAAACTTTAATTTTTTTCTGCAGCTAGTGCCAATGGTTTCCTGGTTTCCTGCTGGGGGGAACATCAAGCTTGGTTGCTGCGTTAACACTTTCCTGTAATAACTTGGATTATGGAACAGCAGTGACTGTCAAGATTTCTGTAAACAATACCAGCACAGGCAGTGTTCTTCCTTGGAAACAGAAAGAATACATGCTTATGGAGTACTGCTATTACCTGCACAAACCATCACAGATTTGGAGAAAGCGGGGATGATATTACTAAAATTTAAAAAGCAAGGCAAAAAAAAAATTTAGTCAAATACCGAACGTGCTAAAAAGGCAAGTTTATATCAATTATCTGCTTCTCAAAGAGAAGGAATGAGAACTCCCCAGGTGTGCCTTATAAGTTCAGTAAAGGAGAGTGTTTCACATTCAGGTTTTCATGTGTCTTGTATACTAGGATTTTATATGTGTAAACACGAATCAGTGAAGGGCACTTGACAATAATCTGCCTGTACGTGATCACCAAAGCAAAAAGAGTCATTAAAACTGACACCAGAACAGTGCATATCTGAGATGAAAATCCTCAAGGGGTGTAAAAAGCCTTTGAAAACCATGTCCATCACTTAATTGCCCAGTGCTTTAAGGAAATAACAAGTGAGAATTCCCAAGTAGACACTTCAGTAAATCGATGTGAACCTCCAACCTAGATAGTACTTAAGTCTTTATAAGTCTAATAGAGTTAGCGATTACTTCTTTTAGAGTTCGCCGGTGCAAGGTTGGAACTTTCATTTACTGCCTCTGGCGTCCCCAGCCTGCTGACAGATCAGCACAGTAAATTCAGAGAATGGACCTGCACTGCAGCAGCCAGGAACCGGTGTCTGAGACGCACCGATTCCTCCCTCCCTCTCTCATTCCTCCTGCACAGCAGCACGGGTTCCAGTTTGTTCTTTTAACTGTCTCCCCCACAGTTTATGAACTTTGCATTCTAGAAGAGAGGCACCAGTATCCTGGCCCAGGAGAAACTGCAGCACTGCCTTCCAAAAAATACAAGTTGGAGGCCATGAGCCAAGGTGCCCTGAGGGACTTCCTCATCTACCTTCAAAAGCAGCCAACCCACATAATCATCCCAGGCTACCAACCATACCTGTCCTTACCAACAACTACCCCAAGATGATTTTTTATTACATTAGCCACACAATGCACTACCTCTTACCACCTTCCATCGTGTTTTCACCAACGCTGAGTTTATAATTTCAAGAATCACTTGGCTTTTGATTCTGAAGATGTAAGTGCACTTAGAAGTAAGCTTGTGGAAGCCTTCCCCAGCTCGGGATCTAAAGATTTTGAGTTTCATGCAGCTGCTGAGCTCCATGTCCATCATGTGTCATGACCACCCTTGTCCCTCTACGAATAACTGGCCTGAAACCTTTTAGAGCTGATGGAAGTGTTCAACTTGCAAGGAAAGAAAACAGTGTTGCTAAGGAACTGCAAAGGAAAAAAAAAAAAAAGGCCAGAAAGTGGTAATGTGAAATGAAATTAATTCATTTCAATGGCCCTTGATATGTTGGGTATTTGGCATATTATCAGCAATTCAGCAGGCGGGAGGCTTTGTTTCAAACTTAGGCTGAAAGAACACTCAGAACATGACTGCACCCTTAATTTAGGGATTAGCTGCATTCTCTCTTCCCATACAACAGACCCTGTTCACTTTTGTGGATTTCAGACAAAATTTTAAAAGCAAATCACATGAATATCAGCTTGAATGACAGCTACGCCCACAGTTATTGAGACCCCATTTTTTTAGGTGAGGATAAGGGCTAAGGATTTTCTTCAAATTTATTCTAACCAGCACACCAACAGATGTACTTTGCCAGCAAGTACTGGCTTTCATGCTTTGCTCATTTTGGCAGAGATCTTAGCAATGCGCAGAACCAAATACTATTTCATGGGATTTTGTTTTGCAATGTTTTAATTTCAGGAAAATATTTTCCATTTTTTATAATCATTAAAGAGACCCCATGCAGTGGAAGATTTTTCAGGCTGTTGCTCAGCTGAGAATTTCATTTCAGTTGTTTTAAAGAGCATTTATTTTTCTTTCTTTTTTTTTTAAATACAGATCTTTCTCCAGTGAAGTTTTTTCCTCTTCTTTTACCATCTTCCTTCAATTTACTTAAATAGAAGACATTAGAACAGCAAAGACTACATCTCTGACATGTTTATCAACGCCCCCTACAATTTTCTATACATCTTCCAACACTTCAGCTGAAGCATCATAAATGCCTGGTATTTAACACTTCCAGAGCTAAAACTCCAGTACCTCAATTGTTCAAGTTGTACTTTAACTTACAGGATGCCAGGTAACAAACTGAGAACCTCACCTTCTTGCTAAGATTTTGGGGCTATATTGTTGAATGCTGCCTGACTGATGAGAGGCTTTGCCACAGGGTGATCTCCCAAAATAACCATAACCATCAAATAACAACAACAAAACTGTAACATTTCCATGCCACCTACAGCAGACTTTCATGAGTGGTTTACAAGGAGCCAAAATGAGGTGCGTGACCCACCTATCTCCTCACCCACCATTACCTCCTTACATCCTTGACAATGCATTTCTAGATCTTCACTTGGCTGGCTCTTGAATTTATTGGTTTTACAATGTCTAATTAACCAAATAAAAGGTAAGACCTCTCCCTTAAAACTCCATTTGTTTTAACTTCCTTGTGATGGATAATCCCAAAACCCACCAGTTGCACTGTAGCTACATTCTATCATTTTTTTCCCACTTGAACATCTATTTTATTGGAGCATGAAAACTGCTGGATGAACCACCATACAAGAAATGTTTCCACGAATACAGTGAACTTTACATACACAAGCTAACTCCAACTTTCAGTCTATAAAATTTTTGTCTGGTCTATTAAAAAAAAAAAAAATATTCCAGACTCTTGAACCTTTCCAAACATTGTTTCAGAGAGTTACTGACTAAAAACATGAAATATGCATTCCATACTTTTTGAGAAATACAGGTACAGCCAGGTTAGAATTGCAGTGAAAAAGACACACCAATAAATTTCCCAGTGTGGCCATAAGAGACAACATTGTATTACCATAGTTCTTCCATCCCTTTTTGAGAAATGCAAAACTTCAGACCTTCAGAGAAAATGACATAGGTGCTGCCCAATTTCCTGAATTCACGTCACACCTCACTCGTCACTCTTTTGTAATAGAAATTAAGGACACAAAAAAATGGGTTGCTACAACACACGAAAGAAAAACAAACACACAAAAAACCCAAACAAACAAACAAACCCCCCCACACACGAAAAAGAGAAGTTAAAGTAAAAACTCCAGAAGTATGTTTTTTTCTAAAGTCTCTTCACATGAGCAGAGGGCACCACCACTCAGCCTGGCCTTTTCTGCTCCTTCTTCTGTGCAGCCAACAATTGTAGTGCAGCAAGAGCGGTCCCTTTCCTCAAAACACTGTCCATAACGTTGTTACAAAGGTGATCCTTCCTTCTGAACTGTCTTCCACTTGTACAAGGGTTTTCCTTCTGAAGACGCTGTATTTATATCACAGCTTTCCAAACTTTTGCTTTCCTGCTTTGCTGTCCTCTAAAAAGATTCTAGAAAACCAGGCAGCCTACAGTTTAGGGAAAAATACATGTGTTCATGAAAGACCATAAGGCCTTAGACCATCACAAGATTATCAGCAGGTAGGGTTTCTGACCTCCTCACACTGTGTTCCAGAGCCATTAACATGTGTGCGTGGTCTTAAATGCAAGGACTAGATTTTAAAAGCGTTATTACCAAACACTATCAGGCTATGGTTTTATGCAGGTTTTTGCCTTTTTTTTATCAAGTATATATATATTGCAGCTAAAGCAGACACACAGCTATCCTTAGTTTATTTCAGAGCAGACTTTCTGTGTACTAACATCTTTTTACTGATGAAAATAACAACATACCCTGCTGTATTCTCAAAGAAGTTACAAGGTCATAAGTTACCCCGAGAGCAGCAGCTGCCATTTGAGACTGATGGTTCTTTTTAAAGTATTATTTGCCTTACCCTTACTTGCTCTACCCTACGGCAACATACCCAGCATTCACTGATAACCTGTTTGCCTGCACTGCAGAAACACTCATGGTACAGGCTGGAACCTCAGAACTCAGAGACTGAAGACATTCACTTACTTGCGCTTCTCCACAGTGGTCTCACCTATATTGGAAATAGAAATCAGGAAATTCAGGCAGAGATAGGAGTTTGAGAAAGAGAAGGAACCCAGATGACCTGCACACAGGAAGCTTAGAGAAGGGAAAGAAAACAGTTTCCAGATGCTGGCCCCTGTAAGTTTAAGTCATTTATTTGCCAAGGTAGCAAGATACCACCCATTATACACTGATGATAACACAGTTGCTATCACAGAACAGACAGGATAAGGCAAAAGGACACAAACGTGCTCACCGTGCACACAGAGGTTTCATCCCCAGTCTTCACTCTGTTCCGAGCCAAAAGCTGCTCCAAGAGGCCAAGTCTGTGCAGCATCCAGGAAAACGCCAGTAGGAGCTCCCGACTCCCCACTGAGCCATCAGCAGGGAGCTGATAGAGCTCCGGCCTGTCATAGCCATGGTACCACAACGCTGACTTTACAAACCTGATCTGGTTATCTGAAAGGAAGAAAACAACTGAGAATAACACACCGTGCTACTCACTGCATTTATCCATTCAGCTCCAGAAACTGCTGCCTCCTCTGAAAGCAAGATTTTTAATCAAGCCTCATATTACTGGAAGTCTGCGGGGACTACAGTCTTTATCAACAACTGGCAAAGGACAGGAGGTAAAGTGTGGAAGCCCTCTTTAGGCTACCCCATTCTGATCTACAGGAACTACTGCTACGGGAATAGAACAAATTCAAAGTTAAGATCAAGGCCAGTAATGGCCTCTTGGAGATTAACAAAGGCAAAAAAGGTGACTAGCCATCCCCAGTACAACAGGACTCCAATTCACCTATTCATTTTTTATGAGCTACCAAGCATGCTATGAATTAGTAAACACTTTGAATCACTTTGCTCCTGAATGAAACTGGAATTTAGAGATAAGAGTTTTCACAGCCTGGTGCAAATCTCTGAGCACCAGTGAGCAGACAGAGGTACAGCACCACACCACAGCTGCTATCCTTAAATTTTTAGGACTGCTCTGATCCATATCGCTTCACACCAGCAAATGTCACCTGGCAGTTACAAGACAGGCACTACAGAACTGTAAAATACTGAGGAAAAAAAAAGAGAGAAAGTTACTATTAAAAAAGGTTCTGCCCAGTAAGCCCCAGTTCTGTGCTAATGGAAGGCTAGAATAAAGAAAATAATTAGGGGACACAACGGCAACACACATACTAAGAACTAAGGCTAAGAACTAAGAGTTGTAAAAGGAAATCCTGCTCAAAACTCATCTGGAGTTCTCCAAAGGCAACAAGAAGTGATTAAGGAAGATTCAACCAACGCAGGACATTTAGATTTCCTAGTGGGATTCAACTAGAAACTAGCACAAAGAAACTAAGGCAACTGTGGCGGCGAGAGAGGAAAGGCCCTTAAATCAATGACAAGTGCCCAGCAGACAAGAACCAGAGGGCAGGAACAAATAGTGGTTTCACATACTCTGTGCTAAACAGCTGCTGTTCAAACAACTCAAAATGACACTCAGACAATGTGACAGTGACAGAAAACTTGGTGCTGATATGATATTAGTAGTCAAGAATGCAGGCAGATCATGAAGAGCTGCATAACCTAATGAGGCCAAGCTTTAAAATGACAGATAAAATTATTTTTAGAAAAAATTAAAAACTACATGCACAAGGAAAGAAAAGTTCATAACTGTACTGACATAAGAATGGGCTTGGAGCTGATCACTGGACTCAGGAACGCAATCTTAGGTGATAAGATTTTAAATGGCAATATCACGATTGTTTCTTATATGCATACAAAAAGCAAACTCAATGTGGGAAACCTAGAAAGGACACTAAACAGAACACAAGTAACAACATATCATCACTGCCTGTACTCACTGTGACCCTTATTTCTTCAGTCCTATAAAGGTTACAGAAGATTTAGAGAGAAATAAAGAGAAAGGACAGGTAAAATCACAAGTACAGCTGTGTTGTAAGAACTGATGAAGTAGACCAAGATGCTGGTTGAGACTGGGTATGACAAAACTCTTCAAAACAATGAGTGCTGTGGAATGGATGAAGGGGAGATAACTTGCTTGCATAACATGCAATACAAGAACTGCAAGCCACGAAAGTTAGCAAGCATGTGAGTCAAAGCAAGTTGAAGAAAAGCTCTTCACACATACACCAAAGTTCTGAAACTTCTGGCCATGGAACACTATGGACTCTTTAAAGTCACACAGGGTCAAGGAGGAACTGGATTTACAGAACAGGAGCTCATGGAAGCTTAAGAAACACAAATATATCCTTTCTGGATTGGGAAGTCTAAGATGTAAATGACTAGAGGCTAAAAAAATACCCCCACCCTGAAAGTATCCTTCTATATTTGCTCTCTCCTTTCAACAGGGCATTCACTTTTGACAACTGTCACAGCTGGGTGGAGCTAGAGGAATCTACAGTTTGATGCAGTTTAGGCATTCTTACAGAGTAAGGAAGAAAGCTGCTCCCCTTTTCCAATGTAATGCTTCAGTATCTCCACAGCATTTCATATAAAATGTACAAACACAAAAATAGCAGGAAGTACAAACCTTGCCCAGTCAAGGATTGTCACTGCTGTCCTTAATTAACACACCAATTCATCACATTACACACTCATTTGCCTGGTCCTTGACACTTATGCTAAAAGCTTCCCTTAGCATTGACACATATTGTTTGTGTTTGGCATCAACTGCTCAAAAACCACATAATGACCAACTTCAAAACACAAAACATGAAAAACAATCACGTTACTCTCAAAAGGTGAGAGGAATTTCCTTAATTACAAGAGACTCCCACAGTGAGGAGATTTAACTCGACTTACAAAACACTAAAGGAGTCTTAGCCCAACAGGAGTAATACACAGCCAACACACAGGGAGAATCTACAAGCAGACCTATGCCAGTAACCCTAAAGGAGCAGTGCATTGTTACAGCTCTGCTGAAACCGGTAAGGTATATTGTTTGACTGTTTGACCAACTTCAGGATTTAGGGATGGTTATAAAAGTGCAGATCCCTAAAGAGATGCCTCCTTCCAAAGTGCTCCTCAGTCCAAATACACAGTTGAAAACACTACCTGATTACTACACATATTCAGCAGCAGGAACAGAAATATGGAATTGACCACGTGAAAGCTACAAATGAATTCCTGACTAAGAAATTAACCATGACTGAAGAAACAAAACAATATCAGGAGCATGATTAAGCAGGTGACACATTAGTAGCACAGAGCTACTAATTTTTTGCAGGACTAATGTTTTGCATAGCAGAGCTCCTGCAGAGACAGATGGCATTTTTAAACCTAGCTTGTTTCTGCATTACAGGCACAAAAAGGAAACCCAAACACCTAAACCACTCTGTTTGTTCTTTCTGCAGAACCTGTGAATGAAAAAAGCTTCTCTTCATAATGTTGGGGTGGCAGAAATGCCTATGCTTGCTAAACATCTTGCTGTAGATAAGCACTCCAATCCCTCATGCACAAGAGGAGGACTGTGATATTAGGATCTTACTTTGATCACTCTTGAGCGTTCTTACATGAGCAGGGTTTTCAGGCTGTCCTTTCCTTTTCTTTGTGCATCTGTCAAGAAAGGAGCCGCCCAAACAGGTAAAAGTAGAAATACTCTGAAAGGAAGGAAGATCAGTACAGGCTTTCCTCCCTTTTCAAAGCAAACAAGCATCACATGCTGCCATCTGCAGTTCAAGGAGTTCCCCAAAAAAATCACATATCAAAGTGGAGGAAAGGAGAGCAAGCCAGGTGTTTCTTTCCTTTATCATTATCTCCCTGCTCTGATATACAACCCAGGACAGATCCACCAAGGCAATTCACCACCTGAATTTCTGTGTTGCTCTGGTCCTTTATCTACCCCTATTTCATCTCTCTCTCTGCAACCTGATGCCCTCACAGGAGAAGGTACAGATTGGTGTGAGTATCAGGCAGGAATTGCAGGTCAAAGCATGGATGTGAAACTGGGGCTCAAAGAGCCTTTCCATGACCTTAGAGAAGTCACTTAGTTTTTCTCTTCTCTCCGGTGCTCTAAATAAAAAGCAACAGCGCTCAGACAAATGGCAGTAAAGGTTATATAAGCACCCAGGACCAAGATGGATTCCTCCACAACACGCAGCTGACAGGAAAAACTATCACTCAGACAGCAGATAACACGAATCACTCAAACACCTCCTCTCTGACAAGATCTGACGGCATTTCATTAGCATTAGGCAATTTATAGAGAAAGACCAAATGCAGGCCTTCCAACTAATCCGCTTCTTCACACATATTATTTATAAAAGTATGTTCAGCAAGTAAAATTAAGCTGGGGATGGTCCTCAGGGTTCAACTCTCTTAATAAGAAACTATACTCAAGCTGTGCTCTTGCGCTTTATGAATCCTGACAAATATTTTCAGTGAATTACAAGATGATATTCAAATAAGAGACATGCCTGGCAGGCTAAAATGGAAAAGAACTATAAACCAAGTATAAGAACAGACACAGATACATTACCTCATTTGCTCAGGCAAGAAACACCTGCGCTATGGGAAAATATTGGTATTATGGTATTATGGGAAAATACTGCTTCAGAACATTTAAAAATAAACTGCAGCTCCAGACCTCTTTCCCATACTGTAAAAACTGAATAGCCATTCCATAAAAAAAATGTTTCCTCCAACTATCTACATGCATATTGCACTACTACCTGGTGTGGCTGTCAGGTTGTTAACCAAGTTCATTGGGTCTCAGCCTCTGTGAAGAACAAGCAGCATGAAACCATTAATCGTGACTTCATCACTAAGGTTATGCCCAGAGTATTTTTACAGCTTACTCTTGACTTGTACTCCACTGACAAGAGACCAAATATTACAACACGTTTAAGGGGCTGGAGTGTACTAATGGCTTCCCACCAAAGTTTACAGTAAGTGCTTTTCACTGTGTGAAGAAAAAATTCTTCCAAAAGGAGAAACCAAGAGCCATTTGCAGAATTTTATAACCACTGACTGGCAGGCTTCAGTGGGGTTGATGGTTTGTTTTTGCAAGAACACAATATTTCCTATATTTTAAAACAGCAGACACTATGGGCTTTTTTAGATATGATTTTACAACTATTTTATTTTCTGTTAGCTAGGCAATAAAATATATCAACCCATTGAAAACATAATGCAGAAAGTTCTTGCTAAATATCATATCACAGCCATAACAAGGGAATGATCAGGAGCTGTTCTGTTCAAAGCAAATTTCAACCTCCTCTAACATTCACCTATGTGACAAGATCAGATCAAAAACTGACTAATAAAAACTACTAATTCAAAACAGAAATACACACCTTGAAAGCAAGAAGAACCACTGTGACCCCACACAACACTTGCGAACTATGGACCAAACTTCAGTGTTTCCTTTGGAAAAATAAAGGATGTAAGACCACTGGAGGATGGCTTCTCTTTTCCAGAAAGCTGTTCCTATGCACATGGTCACCCTTATACCGAAGGAGTCTTTGCAGCCTTTCTCTGGGATCTGGCAACTGCTGCTCTCCTCTTTTTAACTGAGGTAATTAGGAGGCTGTACAAAAACAGCAAAGAAAAAGAAAGCCCGATCCATGGACTAACGCACTAGAGCTGGATTAGAAGAATCCGTTTCAATTCTCTGTTGTACAGCAAGATCCTGTACAAACCTGAGAAAGTTGTTTAGTCCCTATGCCCAAGGCTTATTTCATTTGCATTAAACACACAAGAGACCAGAGTAGGGGCAGAGAAGAAAAGCAGTAAAATATTGATTGCGTTCACAGCAGACAACTCATTCACCTGCCAAGCAAATGTAATTAGTGTCTTTTGAAAAACAGTATGGCTCTCCAGCCTGAACTTCAGCTTTAATCATCAAGTTGTAACTACACAAATCAGCTCAGCAGTGCTGAGCAGAACCACACATTCCTATCTCACAATGTACCAGAAGAGGCTGCATTTGCTCTCTCTAGAGCCAGCAACCTACCACGTGCACATGGAAATCTTGTCTCCAAATGCTACAGGGAATAAGTATGGAAGCAGGCAGTACCCAGTGAGGTTCCACTTGTGCAGTACCACATCCACAAAGTTGTAGGAGACAGTCAATAAAGACTTACCATCCACAGCAGATCGTGGATGAGTGGAAAAAATAGCAGTCTTGTGAGTAACAGAACCATGCTGATTTCCTGCTGAGCTACCAGCAAAACTATGCTGATTTTGCTCCACACTCCAAAATGCTTAACCTTTTTTAACTCCATTTACAGAGCTACCAGACTCCCAGCTATTCAGGGGCTTAAACAGTGTTGTTCAGGGTTTTCTGCTTCTAGGGCAAAAGTGGATTTCAAGTGGTTTCAGTCTGAGGAGTGGTTTCTTTACTCATCACAATCCCATTCTCAAAACCTCCTCTGGCAATGAAAAGGCTCTAGACAGACATGTCTCAAGATTTTGGAGAGTAGTGTTGTACTTAGAATAACATGCATTCGAGAAGTAAATAGTGCTCCGTCATTGTGAGAAGCCAACCTACATTCAGCTCCTCTCTGGAGTAGTGGTCCTGTCCACAAAGATATCCATGGTCTCCCAAAAATAACCACACATACTCTACTTCTTGCTTTGTCTAAAACTTCAATGCCTTTATGGTTCACATGTTATAATTCACAGCTCTAACACAGGACTTGATAGAAAAGTAAGCACCAAATCACGTGTGATATGTGGAATGGGGAAAGAAGGTATCAAAGGAAATACAAATCTATTTCTGTAAATCCCTCTGTAGATGCTGAGAATGCAGAAGATCACTGCAGAGATTTACCTGCAGCAAAATGTCAAATGGAAGCAAGAGCTTCTGGAAGACACAAGCACATCCCAGTTTCCTGGACAAAGCAAGTCAGAGGAGTAAACCTGCCTGCACAGCTGTGATGCACAGTACATTGGTGGTACAGGTATTAAAAATGCAGCACTATGAACAGGGAGCAATGACCCAAAGAAAAGGTGCTACAAAACCAGTCCCAGTACATCCTGGGACAGACGGAAATCACACAGTCAGCCAGACTGACCAGGTTACCTATGGCATCAGACTCTGTCCATCTGCCTCCGTGGATTTGTTTCAGAAGCGCATAGAGCAGCCTCCAGAAATCCAGGCTCTGCAAAAGAAAGACACAGACGGAGAAGATCAGCAGGTAAAATATCTGCCATGTATTTAGCCTTAATTAGACAACGAAACCCATAGCTGAGCGTCATATACATGGAAGGGCACACCTGCATCCTGCCAACACCACTGAATCAGGTAGGTTCACGTATTACCTGTCTTATGAAGTCTACCTACAGTTAAGGTGCACTCAGAAATAAAAGGGCTAATGATGCCTGTGCAGCAAGACCCAGCACTTCTACTGTGAGGCTCATACATACAGGAGCACAGCTTTCCAAAACCTGCTATGATATAACCACATGTGGCACAACTCACCCGTGGTCAAACAAGCACTTGAGAACACTGAGATCTGAGCACGATAGTGTCAAAAACTCACAAACAAGAGGCAGCACACAATGAGTTGGAAATGGGAATCATTTCTTGGCCACACAAGGACAGTACGCTGACAAACTGAAACAGTGATTCTTACAGCTGGAATTTCAGTCAACACTCGTAAAAACCTTAAAATAGCTAACTGAGCAAGGGGGGCACCCCGTGTGCGAGCTGCAGGGCTGCACAAGACCCAAGCTGGGGGGCAGCACAGGGCAGCAAACCCCAGGCGACACTGCAAACGCGTTGCAGACCGCGGCGAAGCGCCGAGCTCTAAATTAAAACCAGAGCACGATAAAACCCTCACCGGAGCAGCGAGCTGAGGGACACCTAACACGTGTCGGATGGGCACCACTCCAAAGCCTCACCGCCCCGGCGCCTGTCCCACGGCTCAGCCCCTGTCCCCCTCCACCCCTGCCCCTGTCCCACGGCCCAGCCCCACTGGGGTGCCCCGGTGCCTGTGCGCTGTCGCCGTGTCCCCGCGGGGCGGGCGGGGGTCTCACCGCCTGCGGCCGGTCGAACCTGGCGCGGCGCAGGGTGTCGGGGGCGGGCCGGCCGCGGGGCGGCAGAGCCCGGCACAGCGCCCCAGCGGCGGCGGACAGCGCCCGGCCCCGCTCCCGGTGCTCCCGGTGCTCCCGATGCTGCTGCCGCCCCCGCATCCCGCCGCCGCTTCCCGCCCGCTCCGCGCCGCCTTTCCGCCCTCTGCGCCCGCTGCGGCGCCCCCTGCCCGCCGGGAGGGAGCACTGCGGGCTCCCCGCCTGTCTCCCTGGATATCCTGGATATCCGCGGGCCTTCCCGCTGCTCGTTCCGCTCTGTGCGCGGGGCTCGGGGCAGAGCACGCCCCTGGCCATCCCAGTGACCCACACGTGTCACCTCCCACTGCCCGCACGTGCCCTGGAGCCACGGCCACGTGTCCCGCCCAGCAAAAAAAAAAGAAAAAGCATCCTGGCGGGAAGAGCTATTGCAAATCCCTGCTTCGGTTCTTCCTCTGCTGCAGGCTCACCCGCTTCTCGGGTGATGGGAGAGCACAGGATCTGCCAGCAGCAGCATCAGGTCCGCGGATGTTCCCGCCTGCCTCTGGCTCAGTGGGGTGTGATGCAGCAAGTTTGGGTACCCAGGCATAGAACCACTTAACTGAAGCAATCCCAGGGATTAATCCTTGGGCGGCAGTTGGGGAGAAACGGATTTGCCATTTGAGAAACAACGTGAATTCCTGAGAGGGAAAGTCCACCCTTGGCCAGGGTTTACACAGCCAAAACCTGGCCCAGAGATGGATTCCCGCTGAGGGTTTACAGACGGAGCACAGCCAGGGACACCGGTCTGCTCCACCAGCACTGCAGGGATCCTGCCTGTGCCTAGACATGAGACCTACTGGAAACTCCCACTCGTGCTTTCTTGGCCAGCTATCCAGTTCATAGCCCATTTAACATGCTCACTATGGATCTAGCATTTTCCTTTTTTTTTCCCCCAATATCCGAACAACATGAACCAACATGTGAAATTCCTTCCCGCTACAGAACAGCCTCTTGCAGCCAAGTGGCTGCTCACAGCGAGGAGAGAAATCGCAGGGGTCCAATGAGACCTCCAACCAACATGAACTGTGTTTGCACTCTTTCCCTCCAGTTGCTCCTCTCCTGCCTCCCACCCCCGTGCTGGGGAGCGCAGCCCTTTCCAACACTGAGTGCTGTATTAGAGCTCTTGCAGTCCTGTGGATCCTGGCTGCTACTCCAGCCAGCCCTCAAAGGACCCCTGGGTGTGAGTTATCCAGGCTTAAGGATTTTTAAAATATCTTCTCTAGCAGCTGTTGTCTCACATCCTCCTTTCCTAATGGTCTGGAAAGCATTTTCCTTATCCCTCATCTAGTTCTAGCTCAGCAGTCTCTATCTACTTCTTTGCTCTCCGTCCTAACAGGTTTGGCACCTTCACACACTTCTTTGCCTTGTTTCCCAACAGCCCATAAAGTCCTTTATTATTGCCCAGAGCCTTATCGAACCTGGACAATCCTCTGCTGTCTTTGGCATCCTTCTTGGCTTTCCATACCTTGCTGCTATTGGGTGCTGTCTGTTCCTTCCATGACACATCGCTTGTCTATTTTCCTGTCCCCCTTGTAGTCTCCAAGCAGGAGGACCTTCAGCTGGAGCCAATTTCCTGTGTTTTCTTGACCACTACATAAACCCTGCCTAAAGCTATCCCTGTCCCCGCACAAAATCCTCTGTCTAGGCCTTTCCTCCCCAGGGCAGCTGCCGAGACAAGGGCTCTCCTGCATCACCTAGTGCACGCAAGGGTGAGTGGTTCTGCCCATCACCCCTCCACTGAGCTCCTCTCCCCCAGCCAACACACTAACCCCCAGGCCAGTGAGCATCACCACCCAGCATGAGAGTGCCTGCTGGGATCCACGCCATCCCAGCACTCCCAGAGCTCCCATGATGCCTCTCCATCCCACTGGCCAGACCAACCCCACAGCACCCCAGAGCCAGGCTGGCTGCCCTCCTGGCCAGCATCCCCTGGTCTCTGGCCCCGTGGCTCCCCCGGCACTCAGCTCTGTGGGTGCAGCTGACACAACACGCCTGGGGCTGCAGAGAGCTGGCGCTTGGCCACGGGCAAGTTGGACGCCAGGCAGCAAATCCCAGCCTCTCTGGCGCGGCACAGTGTGGCGGGGGCTCAGTCCCGGCATGTGAGGCCCCACTTATCTGCTCTGCTGGCTCCCTGGGTGGTTTTCCCAGGGTGGGAGAAGCTGATGGGAAGGCAATGGTTTCCTGCTGCAGAGATGGACCTTGTGCTGCGGACAGATGAAAGAGGTGACAGCGTGACAGCCCCCAGTGTGCTGTCCCAGCAGGGCTGGTGATGGCACCCCACCGGCAGCAGAACCCCTGCCCTGCTGCATCCAAGCCTCCTTCCCCTCCCCTGCCTCAGGCACCAGTCCCATGGGACTGGCAGATGGAAAGAACCAATGGCTGGCTAACATTAGCACACCACCCTGATGTCACCATGGGCACCTGCGAGGTCGCAAGAGACCACTGGAAGCCTCCAGGACCCTCTGTATGACAGGGGGAAGCAGGACAGAACTGGCTCATTGGCTCAACCTGCCTGGCCATTGCCATCTCTCCAGCACTGGGGCAGATTCGGGACGAACCGAGCTGCAATTTGCCCCAGCAGCAAGCATGGCAGTGGGGACCACAACGGAAAGGGAAGGTCTGGCCACATACTGAGGGGCCAGGGGTGCTTCTCCTGGGGAGAGGCCACTGGACTTCGCCCTCTCTGGGTTCCTGTGCTCGTGTGATGCTGCACAGCCACGCAGCCGCACATTTTTGGCACGATGTGTCAGCTGGGGTCATTTCCGCCCTGGGTGACTCAGCGGGGCCAAGGGCGCCTGTTTGCACCCGTGCCATGGCAACCCGCCACCACAGACTGTGTGTGCCGTTGCCAGAGAGGACGGCAGCCCGTCCCAGTCCCATTGCCTCATGCCAATTGTATGTGATAACAGCCATCTCTGCCCGCTCCAGCAGCAGCACAGCTTCCTGATATCACCTCAGACCAGCCCTGCCAAGGGGAAGGTGTGTGCTCTCCTTCTGAGAAAACAACTCTTTTGGAGTCTTTTTTTTTCTTTTTTTTTAATGCTTTTATCCCCGTGAAGATGCAGACAGGAGCCAGCCTGTCTCCAGGCCAGGCCCCCAGGCCAGGCATCAGTGCTTCCCACGCTCCACCGCCAGCTCAGGCAGCCGGAGCTCCTCACTCCTCTGCTCTCCCCTCTCCTCCTTTGCAGCCATCCTAGCAGAGCACAGCTTCTTTCCTTGACTGCTCAAGGGAGGCCTTGGGTGGCCAGAGCATTTCACACCCTGAGCAGGTCAGGCAGGCTGCACCACTTCCAGTTGCAAACATTTCCAGCTCCTTCCCTGCGCTCTCCCAAATCTTTTATACATGCCCTCTCTCCCCTCGCTGGGACACCAGGTTAACCAGAGTGGGAAAAGGCAGCAAGGCCAACATGATGCTGGCAGGAAGGAGTTGAGCAGCACAGGGGCTGTGAATACCTGGCATCTCCCTACCAGAGAGCACTGAGCCTCCTCCTCCTGGCACCACCCTCACCAATGGATGCAAGAGGTGCTGTTACTACTGGCATGGCCCATAAACATTTAGCATGCTCAGTCACATCATGTCACAATTATACATGACTGAGATCCCTGAAAGGGACTGTAACAGCTCCTCAAATGCTCTAGTGCAGGTTTTCCTAGACACAGTCAGTCTGCAACAGGCCTGTGTGTGGGCTGCAGCGCCAAAATTCAAGGTCAGCTCCCAGCAGTTGGATGTCTAAGATGGGCGTTGGTGTTTCAGGCCCTCTGATACAGAGGTCTGAACTTTCAGTATGATAAGTGAATTGGAAAGGATTAGAAAAAAGATCTGAGATCTCATCAACTCTCTGTTCTCAGAGTTTCACCCTTTTTACTTTAATAGACAAGTTGACGTTCCTCTGCACAGAGGGAAACTCCCTCTGACCTCTTCTCCCCCCGGGCCTTTAACAAAAGACTCACCAAAGAAACACAAGAGGCTTTGGCGGGAAGCTCTTGCACCCTTCCGCCTTGGAAACTCTCCCTAATTCCTTGAAAATAACACAAGAGGGATGAAAGTAAAACTCAGCTCTAAGTGCCTGATGTCAACCTTTATGCTTGGTCTCCTTCCTTGGAGAAGCCACCTAGGACCTGACAAACATCCCACCCACTTCATATTTCCCCACCCAGCTCCTCTCCAACACCAGACCACCAGCAATGGGAACAGGGTGAGGGTAGAACAGCCTGTCCCCTCCTCTCCTTGCTCCCTGAGTAGACCTCAGTCTCCACTAGTGAGGTCTAGTTCATGGGCTCATTCACCTCTCATTATGCCTCTGGTCGTCCCACTTACCCAGAGTCCTCCTGGTTTCAGTATCTTCAGCTGCTTCAATATTTGCTGGGGATGTTGCTCCCCATCAGGAACAAGGTTTGAGCTCCTCTTTGCTACCTCTGCAAAGCTGTTTCCGCTGGTGAGATGGGGCTTCCCCAACCCCCTGCTTTGCAGAGCTGGGATAGGAAGTCCCAGCTCACCACGAGAGCTTGCAGAACTCCTGCTGCCTGACATTGGCTGCACAGTCCTTCTTACCACACTGTCTAGATAAGAAGGCAGATTTCTGAGGTGTTAGGAGATGGCCAGACACATTCTTGACTGAAAAGATATCAGAGCTCTTTGAGCTTAACATAAATCAGCTTTAAAAATACTCAAAGCAGTGGTGAGTTGGATACCACACAGTTATAGACTGGCTTCATCCCCAGGATCCCTGCACAGTAAAGAGCATGAACCCCCTGCAGCCACAGCCCCTGTGCCATTTTCCTCCAGCCTTGCCTGCACCCTGCCTGTCCCTGAAGGGACACAGCTTTATTTGGAGAAACACTGCAGGGAAACAAACTGGTGCCACCCCACAGCAGGTGCCTGGCCTCATCTGTACTTCCAGGGCTTTTGTGTCCTTGATACTCTCAGGCACATGATGTGACTCTTGGGGATGGTCCTGTGCAGGGCTAAAGGTTGGACTCGATGATCCTTGTGGGTCCCTTGCTTTGGGTTAAGGTCTGTCAATCTGTGCTGAGAGGATGCAGGGCCAGCTGACTCAAATCAGCCCCTCCTCCCTGCACTGTGCACCCCACTGGGGCTGAACTAGCATCCATTCCTTTTATAGATCAGCTGAAGGACCCCCAAGCCCCTTTCTATCTGCATCTCCTTTTTTCTTCTGTAGAGAAAGCCACAAAGCCAGGGTGGGGAGCAACGGCCGTTTAGTTTCTGAGCCCATCCTGTTTCCTGTCCTTTGCCAAAACCTCTTCTGCTTCCCTAC